TGCAGTTAATAACACTAACAACATAACCACTTTGCAGTTAATACTTGCAACATAATCACTTTGCAGTTAATACTTGCATAACTTGCAACATAAACACATTGCAGTTAATGCTTGCAACATAATCACTTGGCAGTTAATAACACTTGCAACATAACCGCTTTGCAGTTAATAACACTTGCAACATAACCACTTTGCAGTTAATAACACTTGCAACATAACCACTTTGCAGTTAATAACACTTGCAACATAACCACTTTGCAGTTAATAACACTTGCAACATAACCACTTTGCGGTTAATAACACTTTCAACATAACCACTTTGCAGTTAATAACATTTGCAATTTAAGCACTTTGCAGTTAATAACACTTGCAACATAACCACTTTGCAGTTAATAACACTTGCAATTCAACCACTTTGCAGTTAATACTTGCAACATAACCACTTTGCAGTTAATAACACTTGCAATTTAACCACTTTGCAGTTAATACTTGCAACATAATCACTTTGCAGTTAATAACACTTGCAACATAACCACTTTGCAGTTAATAACACTTGCAACATAACCACTTTGCAGTTAATAACACTTGCAACATAACCACTTTGCATTTAATAACACTTGCAACATAACCACTTTGCAGTTAATAACACTTGCAACATAACCACTTTGCAGTTAATAACACTTGCAACATAACCGCTTTGCAGTTAATAACACTTGCAACATAACCACTTTGCAGTTAATAACAATTGCAATTTAAGCACTTTGCAGTTAATAACACTTGCAACATAACCACTTTCCAGTTAATAACACTTGCAACATAACCACTTTGCAGTTAATAACACTTGCAACATAACCACTTTGCAGTTAATAACACTTGCAACATAACCACTTTGCAGTTAATAACACTTGCAATATAACCACTTTGCAGTTAATAACACTTGCAATTTAACCACTTTGCAGTTAATACTAGCAACATAATCACTTTGCAGTTAATAACACTTGCAACATAACCACTTTGCAGTTAATAACACTTGCAACATAACCACTTTGCAGTTAATAACCATATTCTTTTGAAATGCATTGCTCAAATACATGCAAATGATACTATCTCAAACATCATATGATTGACTAAGAACTAATCACATGTTAGGTGATATATCAATCAAATTATCTCTAACCATATGCTAAGCTGCTAAGTTTTGCTAAATTTTTTCAACTGGGTGCAATATTTTTTTAGCCGAAAGAAATAGACCTATTACATCAGTTGTGGCAAACATAAAGTCAGTTGTTTAAATATAACAAAAGTAGGCTATGTTACACCGATAAATGCCCATCAAAGATAAATCATGATCAGCTTAAATGTTCTTGCATGTTTAATTCAATTTCAGCTTTATTTCCTAATACCGAATTATCTTGAATAGAAAGACTCACATACTTTAAAAACGCAAACCATACTATTACATGAAAGACCTTGGCAACTTGAATGACAAAAATCAAAAAAAATATATATATGAAAAAAATAATTGGGTAAGAATAGGTTTAATTCATTAACTGCTATGGGGTGAGCTGTTTCTGTACATTGCAATTGCATTTACAGACTTGGTCTCCAGCAGCTTTAAAACTTCATGTATATTAATGATAGTCTTAAAGTGATGAGTTAAAAGCTAATGTCCATTCTGATCATAGCAATCCCAGTCAACATTAGACAATTGCAGTGCATCAAAGGAGTTTCCAATCCAGAAACATTTTTCCACCTTTACCCACACAAACAAACATTTATTCCATTTCAAACGTTAGAATATATGGCTGCAATTTAAATGCGAAAGATTCATAGGCAAGGCATGTCTCATTCCAGCCAATCCCGTCACAGTATTTCATATAACTGCACTGCATTATATTACACAGGCAAATTACATCTGACCCCGTACAAGCCCGTATTGAGCTCGTTGTGTCAATGGAGCCTGTACAACCTTGTTTGGGCCTCGTTACGAGTCTCATAATTACTTGTAATTTTCGAGTCTTTTAAGAGCTTATGATTACAAGGCTCGTAATAGCCCGTAACGAGCCCCATATTAAATCGTAATTTTCGATCCCCGTACTTGCTCGTACGGTGCCTTTTACGAGGCCCGTAATAGCTCATAATATTCGAGCCTTGTACTTGCCTGTGCGATGCCTGTAACAAGGCCCGTAATAGCTCGTAATATTCGAGCCTTGTACTTGCCTGTGTGATGCCCGTAACAAGGCCCATAATGGCTCGTCATTTTCGAGCACTGTACTTGCCTGTACAGGGCTAGTAACTACGCTCGTAATTGCTCGTTTATTTTGATGAAAAATTCTTGATCAATGAAATAAATCAAATCTACCCATATTCAAGGTCTTCTTGACACGCGCATGGTATCTTACAAACATAATGATAGATAGAACGTTTAGGGAAAGCGGGGCTGTAATCTAATGACAATATCACCGGGAAATGATTAAAAGGTACGTGAGCAATTTTTCTGTCCAGGATTATTGGTATCGGGAGAAGATTCCTGGGGATTTAGGATGATAATGATTGTCAATATCGGCAGAAATTTGGTAGGTTCGGGGGTTTTCTTGGTAGCTAATTAAAATAGATGTTAGCCTTGATGAAATAACCAAACTTCGATATATTTTGATACCAGGTCCATGATCGTTGGATACGTCTCTGCACTATTTATCCAACCATTAATGTGCAGCAAAGCTGTGGCCTTTTGTAATTTAGGGAGTTTCAGCCATGTTTATTCTTCCGAAAATAACATGGCAGAGAAGCATCAAAATATAAGAGGCCACAGATATGATACAGTGCGCGAAATAGACGTCCGACATCGGCCATTGGCCTGACAAAATTATAGATGGCTTGTTTTGATAAAAACACCCAGACATTTTGGCCTGCTAGACATTTGTGGCATTCGTTAGATTGCCCATGAATAGAACTTACATATCAGTCCAGATCCTCCGAATTCCCTGCGTTTTCGGCTTATTTCATGACTTTTGTTGAAGATTGAAAAACATTTCAAAATATTTTTGTTTGGTACCGAAGCACAAGATATAACGTGACTTTCGATTGGCTGTTGTTGTTTGTTGAAATTACGGTGATTTTGATTGGCTATGAATGACTCATTTCTTAATTGTCGTTCGCAAATTGAGTGCATTATCAGTATGCCGGATGTAGGAAAGAAATTGAAAAATCGAGCCGGCATCTAAGTCGAAAAAGTCGGCAGTTTGGAAGTATTTTGGGACTCCGATATCACAAGGTAAACGAATTGGTGATAGTACACCATGCAGACTATGTGAAATGCCGATCACATTCGCGGCAGATGCTTTATATTTGATTTAATTGACGTATTTCTGAATGTGATTTTGAAAAGTGAAACTGAAAGTGAAAGTGAAACTGTCATCATCAGACGATTGTATCATTTTTAGTGTTCTGTCTGTCCCGTCCCGTCCCGAAAGTACCGTATCCCGAGACCATTTGTACCGATCCAAACCGTACCGAATTTTTTTGACCGTGACACCAATAATATATACCTTGAATTTTAGTGGAGTCTGTGTACATAATATGTGTTTTTGAATACCTTGAAGCTTCTGAGTTCTGAGCAATTCTAAACCGACCAAAATCAGTACAATTTAGTTTGATCAATATGTACATGTTCCTCATGTTTTTGCAAGGTGAATCTAGGGGGGAATCAACACACTCAGGCTGTTGGTTAAGTCATCAAGTACAGTATAGTGAATGATACATGACATGCAATATGCAATTAGTTTTATCTTTGTTAATATTGTACTAAACTAAATCTCAATTTAGAGTGGTTGTGGAGAAATATGGTAAGTGAAATTTTTGGCCAGAGAAGGAAGAAACAGCCTGCCAAAAATTGGCCTGAGAGAAAATAATATGGCTTGTTAAAATCTGGCAGGCCTGCCAAAATATCTAGGTTAAAAAAATCCTTATTTCATGCACTGTGATAGCTAAACTACAAAACAAACTAAAATATACAAAAGTATGTATAAATGTTTCTATTATTCTATTCTTAAATGTTTCTATATCAGATTCAGTATACTGTTTCAATATAGTCCTTTGATTGTTTTTTAAATTCAAAGTAGACTAGTCTAGAGTCCATTTCACTGCTTCATTTCGTCAGTAGAACGGCAAAAATAAGAAATTGGGAGACCATTGTGCAATAATATATGGAAAAGTATATTCATAATGTACATGAATGACATTTGTGTATTTCAGATTTTTTAGTTTTTTGTGCAATAAGCCTGGGCCGTCTTGTAATTTGAAGAATTTCAGCCATGTTAATCTTATTGAAAATAACATGGCAGAGAAACATCCAAATATAAGAGGACACACACTTTATAAGCCAAACTAAAAGCAATCCAAGATATACAAATGTCATTCATGTAAATTATGAATATACTTTTCCATATATAATTGCACAAAGGTCTCCCAATTTCTTATTTTTGCCGTTCTACTGACGAAATGAACAGCTGAAATCAAGGTTAGATCAAGTTCTAAACATTTAAAATTTTACTGTAGTATTCGAACTAGACTATATCCTATTTAGTCTGAATTATATTCAGACTATAAGGCACCTATGTTAGAGTTTGGTAAAATGAAATATTTGTTTACATAGGAAGTGCTATTCAAAATGGCCGATTGGTAAAATTAATTTGCACATTTTCACTTCAACTAGCTTTATTTCCACTTGACAATATGCTGTGTTACTTTTAATTGCATTTAATTGTACCTTACTATTTAATTGAAATTTTGTAATGTTTATTTTATTGAAGAAATGGTTCCTCTAATTGATAATTTTGTGCAAAAAATTTCACTGCAATTTCCACAGGAAAGTAGTACATCATAACAGACTGACTTCTAGTCAGTCTGTTGGATACATACTAGTATTCGAACCATGTTACCACAACTGAACTCTTCTTATATTCCCTATATATGCATGATCTGACAAAACAGTGACTCACCTCTGATGGGTGGAGCGGCTAAGCCCACAACATTTGGCATATCTCCTCTGATGACAAGTTTTTTACTTTTGTAGTATTGATCTGCTTCGTTGTCCACAACTAACAACTTTGTCTCGTCCAAACTGCCATTGTAACCTGCTTTAATCCTAACCACAACTTGCTGATGATTTTCATTTCCAATATTCACATCATTCACTTCAACGATTCTATCTCCTGGTTTCAAGCCTGCACTTTCGGCTGGAGAATCGGGGTCAACTTTACCAATAAATTGTCCGGCCTTCCCTTTTTCTGCATGTAAGTTGAACCCATAGCCATTAAAATCTGCCCATTTTCGCAAATGTGAAGCTCTGGGCTTTGGTGCATCGTCTGGAACCATACTAGACATTTTAAAAGAGTCTAACTAGATTATATTTCGAAAGTTTCAAATTATTTGGCTACCTGTCTTCGCCCACTTTAGTCCAAGATGGCGGCACTGAAAGTCACGTGATCTGGTCATGTGACCTCGTACTAATTGACAAACATCCGTGAGCAGACCTGGCAACAATCATTACACCGTTTTTACGGGGAATCTCTTGCTCTTTTAAAATAGGCAAAGACTCAACTTAGCCAGGTTGTTTTGAGGTAGTATGAGAAAATAGAGATAGGATTATGCGATTGGAAAGTTCATTCTAATCTTCCAAGCCAGGTGACATGGGCAGTATAGTACTGTACAGGGCTTTGTATAAAAAGACCTCCTCCCTCATACCCACCTACCCACCTACGTCATTGAATGGTTCAATTTTACTCAAAATAGCTCAATTATTAACATTTCTACAATTCCGGCTTTACTTTATGACTAGACAGATCCACAAATAAAGGCAGGAATTATTCCTGAGCTCCCGGGGCAAAGATGGAGAAGACTACTCAAGCTATATTGTATCAAGGAACAGAGCCAAGAAGGAAATACGAATTGCGGTCCGGGACTATGAACGAAAAATAGCAAAAATGGCCAAGAAAAACTCTAAAGTATTCTGGAGATATGCAAGTAAGAAAACAACTACTCATGACGGGATACCCCCACTCCGGAAAGATGATGGGACCCTCACATCAGACGATACAGAGAAAGCCGAAGTTCTGAATAGCCTTTTTACGAGTGTTTTTTCAAGGATGATATGGCTGATACTCCCCTGCTAGACTTTATATATATTGGATCATATATCCAGAAATGGGAAATTTTTGAAGAAGATAATGACCTCAGACTTAACAACCTCAAACTTACTTCATCACCTGGCCCAGATGGTACCAAGGGTCGTATATTCAAAGAACTACATGATGTTGTTAAGCGCCCTATTTACATCATTTTTTCGAAATCACTCGAGGAAGGTTGTATACCCAGAGACTGGAAACAGGCAAATATCACCCCAATCTACAAAAAATGGATAAATAAGTAGTTGATCTTTCATTTGACACCAAAAATAGCTCAAACAGACCACATCAGACTTGACACTAGATCATGAAAAAATATTTTTGATCTATCAATTTACATGTGTCAAGTTTTTAGCAATACCATAGAAAGATGGCATTGTTGTTTGCATTGATTATCCATTAATTTTTGATATGATTTTCAAGCATACGCCATCTTTTAATCAAAGAGTTATTTAAAACATACATTTTGTGAAAAGTGGTAATTCACTTTTTTCAATCTCTGAATTTCAAATGCCATTTTCTATGCGAATAATTTTTTTTTCACTTCAGTATTATCCCAAATTAAAGTTTTTATCATATTTGATTGACTGTGTGAGTGACATGTCTCAAATAATATTTTGTCCTTTTTCCTTCAAAAATAGGCGCATTGCCTGTTTAATCATCTTAAGGCTAATAAAATCATATCTTCGACACAACATGGATTTCTACCCCAAAGATCCTGCATCACTAACTTACTGCAAGTCCTAGAAGCTTGGACCCGTGTCCTCGATGCAGGTGGCGCCACAGACTGTATATATTTAGATTTTGCGAAAGCGTTCGATTCTGTGAGTCACGCAAGGTTGCTTACTAAGCTTGGACAGCTTGGCATTAAGGGAGTTGCTTACAAATGGATCGAAAATTTCCTCACTGACAGATCTCAGAGAGTCTCACTAAATGGTAAAGAGTCATCATGGACCACCGTAACCTCTGGAATTCCTCAAGGAACTGTCCTTGGGCCGATTTTGTTTATTGTATATATACGATATGCCTAATGTCGTGACAAACAGCAAGATAGCTCTTTTCGCTGATGACACCAAGTTTTACAGAGAAGTTAGGAACAAAGATGACACAGATGAACTCCAAAATGACCTCAATACAATACAAGCATGGGCTTCCAAATGGAAATTACAATTTAACCCAAACAAATGTACTGTCCTGAGAGTGGGAAATATGAAACCAGAACCTAACTATAATATGACTGATGCACAAAGTGGGAAAAACATGATATTAAAAAATAGCAGTGTGGAAAGAGATCTAGGTGTTTACATTGACTCAAATTTGAAATTCTCCGAACATGTTACAATAACTGCAAATAAAGCAAATAAAGTTTTAGGAGTAATAAAACGAAGCTACAAGTATATTGATGAGGACTCACTTAAGCTACTTTTCAATGGCCTTGTCCGTCCAATCTTGGAATACGGGAACTCAGTTTGGAGCCCACAGTATAAAAAAGACATTGAAGCCATTGAAAATATACAGAGGAGAGCAACAAGACTTTTACCAAACCTCAGGCAATTAACATACCCCGAAAGACTAGCCACACTAGACATGACAACATTGGCATTTAGGAGGCTACGAGGAGATATGATTGAGATGTACAAGATCATGAACAATTTCTACGACATCAACCCAAAGACTATCTTTCCTCAATTGGACAATATAACAAGACAACCAGCAAGAGGACACACAATGTACCCCGTAAAACGACAACACTGTAGACTTAACACGAGGCAGCATTTCTTTTCCAACAGAATCATATCACCCTGGAACAAACTGCCTGAATATGTTATCCAAGCAAAAAGTGTTGACCAGTTCAAGAACTGGTTGGATGACCATTGGTACATCCACCCACTGAAATTAGACTGGGAGCATAAGCCTTAATTGAATATATGCCAAAATTAATTGGCTTGATGTGTATACCAAATACACACACCCATACAGGCAAAAGGCTACATAAGCCTACAAGCAGGTGTTTTTCTTATCTTATCATATGGATGCATTTTAATGTGTAATGACCCAAGGGCGCCCCAAGGGAATAAATAACTAACGACCGCGAGCACATTGGTCCAACAAGCCAGATAAAGAAATTGAAACAAAGTGTGCTAAATTCGATGCCCCGAGTGGGAATCGAACCCAGCAGGGATGTAGTAGCAACTTGCTGTCAAGGGTCGTTACAAATGCATCTATAATTCATCATAAACCATAAGATTTAATAAAGGTAAGATTTTTAAAACTGAACCTTCAAAGACCCCAAGTTTGGTGTATTAACGAAAACGCAATTCAATATTTAGTCCCGATCGCTTTTGTTACGTTGACGATCTTCATGAATATTGCCAATGTGACAATATTCATGAAGATCGCCAACGTAACAAAAGCGAGGGGCTAAATATGTGAATTGCGTCTTCGTTAATATACAAAACATAGAACCGCCTGCATATTCTCAAACTAGACTATTAACTTTGAGCCAAATTATTGTCCACAACTTGACTTAAGTGGTGTAGAATCGAGGAATAAAAATATCTTACCGGAAACGAAGCCCGGAAGTTCTTCTATCTTGTTACGCTGACGTATCGTCAGCTTAATTAACTAGGCGAGTACCAGTGATTTTGGTCCCCCTTTTTAAATGCCCTTACTGGCCCTGATTGTGTATAAGATAATAAGGGAAAGAGCTAGGTCACCATATAAATCAATGGAGAGTAGGACCATAAATTAATAGGACACCCTTTTACACCGGGTCTTACCTTCAAATTACCCATCTTAGAACCCCACATGTTGTACATGAATTCTACACAATATCTCCCCTTTTCTGCAATTGTAGGACTTTTCAGTATTGCTGTTTCGCCTCTTGTTTCCCGTTGCTTCAGCCAACAGATACCTTTCTGTTCAATGCAAACAAAATATAATTCCATTATCAGAGACCCGAATGACCTGTATCTCATATATATATCACTACTGAAAATAACTTTGAAAAAAGAAAACTATTTACAAAGCTGAGACTCAGTGACCATTCATTAGAGGTTGAAGCAGGAAGATACAAAAATAAAAATGTAAATGAACGCAAATGTAACTGAGGAAAACAAGTTCCTACATTATGTCATACAAATCAAATATGGAGGAAGTCCTGCATTTCATTGACATGTGCTTTAAGAAAAGAAATCTATAACATCGCAACCATTACAACACAATATATATATTTGTAGATTAATATGACTGTATAAATGTAACTGTATAAATGTAGTTTGTATAATTGTAGTCTGGCCATGCCCTGATAACACAGTGGCCGTGCCTTAATAAATTCTAAATTCTATAATATTGTATATAAAGAAAGCATAAGAAAGTCAAGAAAACGTAAGGGCTTCAAAAAAGAACTTAGGCTTACCTGTTTTAAATCAGCAAATTAAATTCATGAAAATGAAAGACATATGATATTTGGAAAAAAATAACTTTAAAAATAGTTACAAGAATAAGTCAATATAAACGCATGGGTAATAGTCTGGCAGAAACTTCCAAGCTAATCGTTTTCTTCGGATTACAATGTTTTTTCAGAGATAACAATCTGTTGCGTTTTTTTATACGCATTGTATAATTCAACATAAACTAAGAATTAATAACTTCTAATAATTTAGAAATAATTCTAATGATCTTTTTAATAATCTTTAAAATTGAACCTTTCAAAGACTGTATCATGTCCAACGTACGTTGGAAGGTGGGTGCGAGGTAGGCGGTTTTTATACAAAGCCACAGGCAAGTACAAGGCTCGAATATTACGAGCTATTATGAGCCTCGTAACAGGCACCGTACGAGCAAGTACGGGGATCGAAAATTACGATTTATTATGGGGCTCGTTACGGGCACCATTCTGTCAAGTACGGGAGTCGAAAATTACGAGCTATTACGGGCCTTGTAATCACAAGCTCTTACGAGGCTCGAAAATTACAAGCAATTACGAGACTCGTAACGAGGCCCAAACGAGGTTGTACAGGCTCCGTTGACACAACGAGCTCCATGCGGGCTTGTACGGGGTCCGATGTAATTTGCCTGTGTATGTACTCGTATAGGCTTTCAAGAGAACTGTTGAAATCCCATGATAACTAATGAATGAATTTTGCAGTTGACAATATATTATATACAGAATATCACATCATTGAGTGATATCATGGGCTCTATCAGAGGTAGAGCCCATGGTGATATCAAATATCAACACGAGTGAGCGAAGCGAATGAGCGTTGTATTTGATATCTACGAGGCGATAAAATGATATCACGAGAAATTATGTGATATTGGGTTTATCCCATGATTACAATCACCTTGTGATGTTCTGATCCAGTTTCCAGGACATTGGCAGACAATATAAACTAGAAATTAGAACATCAATTGAATATTTGAAACACTTTAATTTTAACAATTAAAAGAGACAAAGAATTTCATCAGCTATTGCCCCGAACCGGTCCGTCTTCTCTCTGCAAGCAGATTGCCCCGAACCGGTCCGTCTTCTCGCTGCAAGCAGGATGAAATTCTTTGTCACAAAGTTTGGCATTTTTTATAAAATCAAACGCGCGTCATTGAAACTCACAAGATGTAAATAGCATGTCACTTACATCATACCTTGATGGGGAAAAATAGATCTTATATGTAAGAAGTACTAAATAAAAGTTATCGTGAAAATGAGACAGTCGTTCTCGAGAGAAAAGAGCATAAATGCGCATTTAGAGAGTTTTGGTCCGTTTAAAAATCTGTAAAAAATTGGGGTACTTAAAAGCATCGAGAGGCATCATATAGACACGAGGAAGTCAATATTGAGCAAGTTATGGCTGTTTTAAATTCAAATAAAACCGTTAAACCGTACCGGTCCAGCTTTTGACCCGTACCGGTCAATTTTCGTTAGCTGCGTATACCAAGGGTGATATTAAAGATAGCAGAACTACCGAGCAACCGTATGGCATAAATATTGTTTCTGACAATTTAACAATATTTTAGGCCGAGCCTACAAACATGCATCATTTATTGTCATCTCTTTTTTAAAAATTCTCAAAGTGCATACTTTATTTCAGGAAAACTAAGATTACAATAATATTTCATTTTTCTATACATTTGTATTTGTACTGTATTGTGTTTATATTGTATTATATATATTGTTTTCCCCAAGAAAAACGTTCATGAATAATTTTATTTATCAAATCACTGATTCACTGATTCAACGACAGACTTTCATCAATCTCAACAATTATGAAGTCCAACTTTGATATAGTTATTTATTAGGAGGCCCTTCAAGGGGCCTCCTATCATTTTTGTAGTTACTCTTCTTTATTAGGAGGCCCTTCCAGGGGGCCTCCTATAGTTTTTGTAGTTATTCTTCTTCTTCTTCTTCTTCTTCTTCTTATTATTCTTTTTAGCATTTTTTCTCCTACTTCTAGCTAGGTCTGAATTAACTCTTATATGCTCCTACTAGGGACATGAGCTGGACTTGTCGGGAAATTAGTTCATATCTAGGTCAAGGTCAAAGGTCAAAATCTAGGTCAAATCTAAGTTTTTTTTAAGTTTCTCAGATTTCGTCCTCATACTTCATTATTTCTTGCGATGAATTAAAATGTAACTAGATATAAGCATTCTCTACAAATTGTCCACTATATGTACGCGTTAATTTTTTACCGTTTTTGAGATATTTGACGTCAAAAAACGGTCAAAAAAGGTCATTTTTCAACTTGCTTCAATTTGACCAAATTTTTTTTTAAAAAGCATCTACAAAGTCTCAGGAGTTCAAATCTGACCTCAGATTTGACCTTTGACCTTTAGTTGACCTTCTGTGACCTTCGAAAGGTCAAAAAAGTTGATTTTTAAAATTGATTTTTTGGATTCAAATTTAGGTCAGCTTAATTACAAAGGACATACTGAGCTCTGAAAAAGTAAAATTTTCAAGGTCAAAGGTCAAGGTCATCAAATAAGATAACAAACTGTGCTATCTAAGTTTCTCAAAATTCGAGACTACAAATCAATATTTTTGGTTGAAAGTCAGAATATATATTCCTCTAAAGGTACTACACATATTAGCAATTGACTATCTATTAAAATTTTACACCAGTTTTGAGATATAAGAGCTCAAGAACTGAAAAAAGGTCAAATTTCGAAAATTTTGAAGGTCAAATTTCAACTTGCTTCAAATTGACCAAATGTTTTTTTAAAAAGCATCTACAAAGTCTCAGGAGTTCAAATTTGACCTCAGATATGACCTTTGACCTTTAGTTGACCTTCTGTGACCTTTGAAAGGTCAAAAAAGTTGATTTTTCAAATTGATTTTTTGGATTCAAATTTAGGTCAGCTTAATGACAAAGGACATACTGAGCTCTGAAAAAGTAAAATTTTCAAGGTCAAAGGTCAAGGTCATCAAATAAGATAACAAACTGTGCTATCTAAGTTTCTCAAAATTCGAGACTACAAATCAATATTTATGGTTGAAAGTCAGAATATATATTCCTCTAGAGGTACTACACATATTAGCAATTGACTATCTATTAAAATTTTGCACCAGTTTTGAGATATAAGAGCTCAAGAACTGAAAAAAGGTCAAATTTCGAAAATTTTGAAGGTCAAATTTCAACTTGCTTCAAATTGACCAAAATTTTTTTTAAAAAGCATTTACAAAGTCTCAGGAGTTCAAATTTGACCTCAGATTTGACCTTTGACCTTTACTTGACCTTCTGTGACCTTCGAAAGGTCAAAAATGTTGATTTTTCAAATTGATTTTTTGGATTCAAATTTAGGTCAGCTTAATCACAAAGGACATACTAAGCTCTGAAAAAGTACAATTTTTAAGGTCAAAGGTCAAGGTCATCAAATTAGGTCACAAACTGTGCTATCTAAGTTTCTCAGAATTCAAGACTACAAATCAATATTTTTGGTTGAAAGTCAGGATATATATATTCCTCTAGAGGTACTTCACATATTAGGAATTGACTATCTATTAAAATTTTGCACCAGTTTTGAGATATAAGAGCTCAAGGACTGAAAAAAGGTCAAATTTCGAAAATTTTCAAGGTCAAATTTCAACTTGCTTCAAATTGACCAAATGTTTTTTAAAAAAGCATCTACAAAGTCTCAGGAGTTCAAATCTGACCTCAAATTTGGCCTTTGACCTTTAGTTGACCTTCTGTGACCTTCGAAAGGTAAAAAAAGTTGATTTTTCAAATTGACTTTTTGGATTCAAATTTAAGTCAGCTTAATCACAAAAGACATACTGAGCTCTGAAAAAGTAAAATTTTCAAGGTCAAAGGTCAAGGTCATCAAATTAGGTGACAAACTGTGGTATCTACGGGGCCTCCGTAAGATTGCTTGCAATCTTAGATCGTTAGATCTCTAGTTTATTTATCTATTATTCAAAGGTCAAAGGTCAAAATCTAGGTCAAATCTAAGTTTTTTTCAAGTTTCTCAAATCCTGACACTACACTTCAATATTTTTGGCTGAATTTTTGCATACAGATAGATATTAGTATTCTATTAGTCTTAGCCTTTTGCCGTCTAGAGAAATTTTGCCTAGATTTTGAGATATTGAAGGTCAAAAAAGGTCAAAAAAGGTCTTTTTTCAACTTGCTTCAAATTGACCAAATCTGACCTTACTTTTGACCTTTGACATTTGGTTGACCTTCAGTGACCTCCGAAAGGTCAAAAAAGTTGTTTTTTCAAATCGATTTTCTGGATTCAAATTTAGGTATATTTATTCACAAAAGACCTTCTGAGGTCTAAAAAAGTAAAATTTGCAAGGTCAAAGGTCAAGGTCATCAAACGAAATCACAAACTGTGTTTTCTAAGTTTCTCAAAATTGGAGACTACAAATCAATTTATTTTACTGAAAGTCAGGATATGTATTCCTCTAAAGGTTCTACACATATTAGCAATTGACAATTTATTAAAATTTTGCTCCAGTTTTGAGATATTAGAACTCAAAAACTGAAAAAAGGTCAAATTTCGAAATTTTTCAAGGTCAAATTTCAACTTGCTCTAAATTGACCAAACTTTTTTTTTAAATGCATCTACAAGATCTCAGGAACTCAAATCTAACCTATGTCAAACCTAGTTTTGACCTATGACCTTTACTTGACCTTCAGTGACCTTCGAAAGGTCAAAAAAGTTGATTTTTCAAATTGATTTTCTGGATTCAAATTAAAGTTTATTCAATCAGAAAAGATATATTGAGGTCTAAAAAAGTAAAATTTTCAAGGTCAAAGGTCAAGGTCATCAAACAAGATCACAAACTGTGTTTTCTGAGTTTCTCAGATTTCGTCCTCATACTTCATTATTTCTTGCGATGAATTAAAATGTAACTAGATATAAGCATTCTCTACAAATTGCTCACTATATGTACGCGTTAATTTTTTACCGTTTTTGAGATATTTGACGTCAAAAATCGGCAAAAATCGGTCATTTTTCAACTTGCTTCAAATGAACCAGATTTTTTTTAAATCATCTACAAGATCTCAGGAACTCAAATATGTCCTTACTTTTGACCTCCGACCTTTGGTTGACCTTCGGTGACCTTCGAAAGGTAAAAAAAGTTGTTTTTTCAAATTGATTTTCTGGATTCAAATTTAGGTATATTAGATCACAAAGGACCCACTGAGGTCTAAAAAAGTAAAATTTGCAAGGTCAAAGGTTAAGGTCATCAAACTAAATCACAAACTGTGTTTTCTAAGTTTCTCAAAATTGGAGACTACAAATCAATACTTTTTCATGAAAGTCAGGGTATATATTCCTCTATAGGTTCTACACATATTAGCAATTGACTATTTATTAAAATTGTGTACCAGTTTTGAGATATTGGAACTCAAAAACTGAAAAAAGGTCAAATTTCGAAACTTTTCAAGACTAAATTTCTTCTTGCTTCAAATTGACCAATCTTTTTTTTAAAAACTCATCTACAAGTTCTCAGGATTCCAAATCTAACCTTACTTTTGACCGTTGACCTTTGGTTGACCTTCAGTGACCTCCGAAAGGTCAAAAAAGTTGATTTTTCAAATCGATTTTCTGGATTCAAATTTAGGTATATTTATTCACAAAAGACCTTCTGAGGTCTAAATAAGTAAAATTTGCAAGGTCAAAGGTCAAGGTCATCAAACGAAATCACAAACTGTGTTTTCTAAGTTTCTCAAAATTGGAGACTACAAATCAATATTTTTAAATGAAAGTCAGAATATATATTCCTCTACTAAAGGTTCTACACATATTAGCAATTGATTATCTATTAAAATTTGGCTCCAGTTTTGAGATATTATAGCTCAAAAACTGAAAAAAGGTCAAATTTCGGAATTTTTCAAGGTCAAATTTCAACTTGCATTAATTCGACCAAACCCTTTTTAAAAATCATCTACAAGTTGTCTGGAGTTCATATATGACCTTGTATTAGAGATTTGACCTTTGGCTGGCCTTTGAATGTTCAGAAACGAATATAGGGCCTCCGTAAGATTGCTTGCAATCTTAGATCGTTAGATCTCTAGTTTATTTATAGTCTCACGCTGGTTTTACAATAAAATAAGAAATCAATAATCAAATAAACACAGCTCAGCAGGCACCAGCTTATGGGGGGGGGGACTTTAAAATCTATTGATCTAGATAGAGTAAGTTATAGAAACTGCCTTCTTTTCATAAATCATTGTGAGTCCAGTGGTTTTTGCAAGTGATCAAGAAGTGGTACATTAGTTAATATAACAAAGTATAGTATTTAGCAAATGTAATGAATCAAAATCGCCTTTTCAAAGAATGCTGTTCAAAAATAAGTAGAAAAGTCAAAGTGCATCTCGTCTTCGACAACATTTTTATTACAACAAGCACACGTGGCATTTATTGCTTAAAGTATCAAAAGTTACAAAAGAACTTATGTTTGTTATTATTTTATTTCGTTATTTTTGTGTACTATTATATAAAACGATTTCTTCCAGATGCACTAGATTTTATGTTTTGCTACATTATTCAATGTCAACATGGCTATGGCGGGCAACCGGGACAACATTCCCCATCGACTGCAATAGGCGCTTCTCCACCTGGACACTCGGGGATATCACAAAACAACTCATTGCAGACGATTGTCATGCTACCGCTATCAGATTTTAGACAGCTACAGTCCGTACAGGGGTCACCATCATCTACACTTGCACCAAGTGCGTAGAACTTAGAGACATCTGCTTTTTGGTATAAACATCCTTAAAAACAAAAAAAGTAAATCAATTTAATTTAATCTAATTATAAGGAAATGCTGACACATTAACACTGTTTTAATTGTAACGGTGGTAATTTCCATTCAGGAAAAATACGATCCTGTGCCAAAAACTAACTAGCAAAATGGTCAGATTATGCTGTTTTGTTTCCTTACCACATGCTCGCTCGGTACAACTGACGCTGCCGTCTCCACATGTACAACGATTGCATCCATCAGTAGATGGGAATGTCGCACCATCAGCGTAGTATTTGTTGTTGTACTCACAGACTGAAATATAAAAGTAAAAACACTGAAAAACTGAAAACTAAGTTAGAAATGATGGAAGTATTAAAAGTTCAATTGGTGGTCTTTTTGATATACTCATGATGGATTCAGTTGTACCTCCTTGTTTGTCACACACGGGGCAGCATCTTCCTTCAAGACGGATGTAATCATCACATTGTGGGCGTGCACAATCTTGAATGGCGCACATTTCTTTGGGTTTTCCATCTTGGAGTGTACACGAACAATGTTCGCATGGGTCGCTTGAGGGCATTTTATCACCAACTTTGTACGATTGACCATCTTTCTTACAACCTTCCTCTGAAATTAAAGAACTGAAATCAACTCATTGGATTACACAATACATGGTTCCATATGACCTTTGTACAGAATGGTAAATATTCACAAACTGAAATTGTTAATATGAAGATCTAATAAAATGATCAGAACTTATGCCATTTTGGGTCATTTAATTACAAACTGTAGTGCTCAAGCTTGCGGATGTTTAATGAATTAGGCCTCTGGTCACCTTTTTTATCATATTTTTCTATTTATTTTACTTAAGTGTCATGGTTACAATAAAGAGTACACTAAAATACCGTAATAAAAAAATAAACCCAGGCCGCCATCGACCTATAACATAACAATCCCTTATGTTCCTTATGAAACTATTTACAGGTTTTCACTCAACTACCAACTTAAAATTATGGAATTGATGACGATATTCAATTTCACTGAATCTGATAAATCATGCCTTACTATGACTGAACATGTTATGATTAATTATGAACGTGGCATGCCGGCAACACACCCAAATTATGCCGTGTCATATTTGTTCCGATTTTCAGTACCTGCGCCCAACCGATGAGTATTTTCTTCAAAATTATATTCAGTTTTGAACAAAATACTAATCGATCAGTGACGAAATTGAAAATTGAGGTAAATGTGACCATGGCATTAGATTAAGTCGGGCACATTAAAAGTGGTGTATGTTTCATTTTATCAAAACACTTACCACAAAATTTCCTTGTACAGGCAGCAACTTTGCCTGCACACGTGCACGTATTGCAACCATCACTGGATGGAAACGAGGTCCCTGCTGCATGATATTCACCATTATATTTGCAAACTAAAACAGTAAAAGATAGATATACAAAATACAAAAATAATAATATTTAAAGCCCCATATAAGGTTTAATCCATGCTGGCTTAAACTATATCGTAGTCTTAGTCTTGTCAAAGTGTGATACACTTGTGAAACTTTTAATTTCGAAAAGTGTTTTTGAAGCTAAGGACATTTGGTTCGAAAAATCGTGAATTTACTTAACACTAACTTTTAGAGATCATTTGTATCTTTTAATAAATAATAATTCACACTAAAGTATAGCAATTATCTTCGCTGTTTTCTGGTGAAAAAATTAAGAAGAGAATTGGTTCATATATAAGCGAAAAATGAACTCATCAATGCATGGACATTTTCGCCATCCGAGTGATGTCACGATGGTGTCACTTAGGTTGCAAATTATTTTTGATTTGCTAAAACATCAAAGTGGCACATTACAGAATGAGCCAGAAAATGTCCACATTTTTAATTTGATATAACACTTTTACAGAATTTTGGCATGATATGCAGAAATAAACTTTACAAATGTTCCTCAAGTAGAATTGATAAATCTCCAGGAGTTTTAAAATTATGAAGGTAAACAGGCAGTCATACTAGGGGTATATATGAAAAATTACAGGTTTCAGGACGTAATTCAAAGTGACAATTTTACAATGATAATACTCATGCCTCAAATAACTTTCCAAATTGACATTTTAAACAAAGCCAGAGAAACATGTAATGTATGATGTATACACTAATTAATGTAATTTATATTTCTGATAGTAATTAAAGCATATTTTGGGAGTGTATGTGTGTAATAGGATGTATTTGTACTGATGCCCTAATAGGGCTAAACGTACATCCAACAATAAAATTTTAAAAAATCAAAAAATACAATAAAAATGTTTAAAATAAAATTAAAAATAAAGAAAATAAGACTACGTTCTCTTATTGGCTTGTAATTTTTATTTAGTATTTATCTGGGTCTTAAGGACAAGGAAGGTTCTTTTTGTGTGGGCTCAATCAATCACCATACTGATCTTTTTTGCCACAAATAATTAATTTTAGATCTCAGAATAGCTTTGCACAGTTTTCTCTTGATGCTGAATCAGGTTTTCCTCATCTTACTTATTTATCGTGTGATGTTTCTAAAATTCAATTTTTGTCTGGAAATTATTTCAGAATATACTGACCAGCAGACCTTATGTCTTTCTCTGACAGTCTGAATAATATTTCAATCTGGTATTTAATTTGAGGCATGACTTATATCAAATAACATTCCGAAATCTGTAATTTCCCAAATAGACCCCTTGTATCTGTTTACCTTTACTATTCAGAATCCCCTAGATTAGAGATTTATTTATCTAAAACTGCATTTCGTCCCCAAATCCTATTGAAATCCATGCATTTTCAAAAAAGATATATCGAAATAAAAATGTGGACATTTCTTGGCCCATTCCTTGGACATGACGTATTTATGTTTTGAAATAGTGTGTCCTTTGTTCAATCTTTGCATTGGCGTAAAGAGATGATGTCTTTTGCACTGTTTAGTAAATCTCTTGACTAACTTCTTAAGTCATTTGAAATAGTGAATGCATAAAAAAACATATTTTCAAACTAAACATGGGGATCGGGACTTAAGATAAACGGTTCCGGATTCTTTGATCACGTGGTACGAGTTTGTATATAAACGCACTCGATTTAGATACGCAATGACAACACTCTCTTATAACGTCAGTAAAGTCATCGGATTATATTTTCGATTGATATCGTTACTGCTCACCTTTGGGACATTGTGGACAACAAGCTCCATCTACAGGCACTGGTTCTATCCCACCGGGGCATTCTGGCATGTCACACGCCATTATGGCACACGTTATTCCAAATCCTCCACTCTCTTGTTTTTCACACATACATCTACTACAGGGATTCCCGTCGTCGATCGTAGACCCAACTGCATAAAACTGACCATCTCCCTTCCATATGCAGCCTGTATTATAAAAAACAATTACCTATGTTCTATATTCTCCCCTTTTGCCCCGGGCCTTTTGCCCGTTTAGGACTGATTTACTATAAATGTTTTTAATGCATCGTGTGATGCACTGAACTGAAAAATGTATGAGCATGACCTGACGAGTCTAGTTGTCAACTTGACAACCATTCAATAAACGTCCTTGAGTGCGGTAATTGATTATATAATGCACTGTAGTTATATGAAATACTGTGTTCGGATTGGCTGAAATCGGACAGATCTTACCTCGTTATGTGTGAATAATATAATTATACGCATTGCAAACGCAAGAGCTTTCCATCATCACTAGCATGGCCATTACTTACCACATGCTCGCTCGGTACAATTGACGCTGCCGTCTCCACAGGTACAACGATTGCATCCATCAGTAGATGGGAATGTCGCACCATCAGCGTAGTATTTGTTGTTGTACTCACAGACTGAAATATAAAAGTAAAAACACTGAAAATTGAGTTCGAAGTAATGGGAGTATTACAAATTCAATTGATGGTCTTTTGCATTTTGATATTATCATGATGGATTCAGTTGTACCTCCTTGTATGTCACACACGGGGCAGCATCTTCCTTCAAGACGGATGTAATCATCACATTGTGGGCGTGCACAGTCTTGAATGGCGCACATTTCTTTGGGTTTCCCATCTTGGAGTGTACACGAACAATGTTCGCATGGGTCGCTTGAGGGCATTTTATCGCCAACTTTGTACGATTGACAATCTTTTTCACAACCTTAAGTAGAAGTTATTAAATCAAATAAAACCTAAAAACTAATTGCATTATGCTGCAACATAATACTTTTTACCGTTATCATAACATTTTCTCACAGTCAAACAATGCTAACTTGAAAATGCAAATTAAACACCAGAAAAACTAAGATAACTGATAAGCGAATAGTGTTTATCTATAATAGCAATCTTAAACCAGACTTACCGCACTCTATGAGTGTACAGATAACCTCATTGTCCTCGCACTTGCATGTATTACATCCATCAGTAGAAGGAAACGAGGAGCCATTCGCAAAATATTTACCATCGAACTTACATACTGTAAAATAAATTATATTACAGGTTGTGTAATGGATATATATAATAAGCTTGATGCCAGAAGCAATCATCTTAAAGGAATGGTATCGATATGGTGAACTTTTTGAACACACGTTTATCTTAAACCAGTCATAAAAAATTAAAAAATTTAACACATCGTCAATTTAATGGTCATCTTTTGAATGGTAACAATATAATTTAAAAAATATATATATTCTTTCTTCTATATTGTTTTAGAAAACACATCAAACACTTGTTTTGTTCTAGGTATCATGTTTCCAGAGTGAAATGAAACATCTTTTTGGGGGAATTTTGGGGGGATTTTGTTTTAATTTTTTGAATACTTTTTTAAAATCAAGCAAAAATTCCTTTTATAACTATAATATTGAGAGGTCTAAAACATGTTGTATATGCTATTTTGTTCCAACAATGTTCGGAAAGACATTTTATTTCATTCTCAAGAATTGGTAGAAAGGAGCAAAAACAATTGCACTAAAAAACAAAAAATGTTAACAAAAACAGTTATATGAAATATTTCTAAATAATTTTCGCATTAAATTGTTGTCAATCAGTATACATTACATAAAATACCGTGTTTTTTTACAGAATGTTTTCAATAATTGGTTTAAGAGAAAAACATTGTTGAATTCAGTTCACCATATCGATACCTATCCTTTCACCAATATTCCAAATCTTGTGAAAGTGATTGCTACAAAACTTTTAAAATGGGTTTGAAAATTGTTAATTGGAATCATAGACATTTTATATTTCATATTTTCAGCGTAGGCCAATAAAACAGTGGAACATTTTTCTATTTATTCAACTGCCTTTATTATTGCAGTTCAATCCAGATACCCATTCAGCTTTAGGGTTGGTTCGTGTTTAGAACGCAAATTTTACATTTCACGTTGCTGTCAATGGGAATCATTATTCTCGCATCTATTGGATACTATGCTGATCATATTGAATTCGATACACAGTAGAATTTATTCCGAAATCATTTAAAATATGTATAAGAAACCCAGCTATAGAACTATCAATGACATATTATTATAAGAAAACCAGCTATAGAACTATCAATGACACATTATTATAAGAAAATCATCTATAGAACTATCAATGACATTATTACATGCTGCGGTGTAGTCTAAACAAGCACTGGAGCTGAACAAAAAAGTAACAATGGCCCAACCTATAATTATCCAATTGCAAAAGTTTAAATAACCTAGGATGAAATAACCGAATCAGTACTGTCCCCTGTTGGTGAAAATGATAACTTACTACTGGGAACTATATATTTAGGAGATTATGACCTCAGATAGATGAAGTCATTTGTCAAATTGTCTGGAGTAGGGTTTAGGGTCAGGCATCCAACTAAGATTACTGATCATTCAAGCTGATTAACAATCAAGTTCAAGGATTTTGTTTGAACAGTCCTAACCTCCTTGTTCCCGAGGATTACACATGGGACAACACCTTCCCTCAATGGGGAATGGATTCTCACAGGGGGGTGGAGCACAGTCCATAATCGCACACAGCTTGAAGCCCTCTCCGTCCTTTAGTTCACATGTGCAGTGCATACATGGTGAATCCTGTTTGATTTCTTCTCCGATTTTGTACATAATGCCATCAACTTCACAGCCTTTAAGTGTAAAATGATAATTTTCAAAACCTGATATTTGGTCAAATGCTGATATAATATATACTTGAATATAATATATATATAATATAACGATTTATAGTATCTGAAAAACTTTCCTAAGACGTCATCATTTCTTGTTCTCCATACTTTAGGGCCCCGTTTAGGGCACATTTATCTCTCATCATATGTTCATAGTCCTCTATGGTACATAATAAATGAACGCATCTTATTATCCAATGAACAACATCAATACGATAAATCACGGCAAAAAAACGGGAAAATTAAATTGTGTTATACTAAAATGTTGATACCTCGTGGTGGTGGAAGCGGACACTGGGCACAACATTTCCCAGGAGGTATATACGAATCTGCTCCACCTTCGCAATCTACGACTTGAGCACAACGTACCAGCCTACAATCTGTGTGGGAATAAAGATTAAATGCGTTTATACTCATTAATGTCATAAGTAAGTATAATCGGGTATTCCAAAAATGTATTATTATCTAAGCATGCCCTTTTGTGGGCTTTAGCACTGAAGCAAAAGTTTTTCAGAGCCGATTTAATCGGCTCTCGCAAACACAACGGTGACGTCATATGCATCTATCTATAATTAATTTTTCGGAAAATTTGTCTTACATGTAATTTGTAGACTTTTCCTCTTAACCTAGAAACGTTTATAGTAATATGAGTAGAATGATTAATACTTGTACAAGTATACTAGAGTACAGCAACCTACCTTCACCACACTTTGGACAACATTCACCCTTTGGTGTAAACAAAGAAACGCCCTTGGGACAGACAGGTCTCAAACAGATTGCTGCTGAACAATCTGAAAATTGAAGAACAATTGAAGAAGTAAAATAGTATCATCACCTATGTTTCCTAGAAACATCGAGAAAACTGAAGATTTATACTAACCTGGCTCCTTGGGACAACTAGGACAACACTGGCCATCCTTCCTAACAGGTTGGGCGTTGTATTTACATAGTGGCATGCTGCACGCCTTAATGGCGCATTCTACTTTAGTGGATCCATCTTTCTGTACTTGGCACGAGCAGGATTTGCATGGCTCATCAGTCTTAAAATCACCAGGGGGATATCTCTTTCCTTTGTAGCAGCATGCTAGAAAAAGGCGTATTGTTATAAAAGGAATAAAGAAGTGATTTTTTCCTACATACATGTATGTACAATATATGTACACGTGTTGAATTGTGTGGCTCTTGCATATTTTTGAAACTGGGACTAACATTTGCTAAATTCTAGACTTTCACAGAAATGACAAACTATTTCTTTGAATGATAAATATATGTAAACATCAGTATAAATCTATGTCTTAGAGATAACTAGTGGAATCTACTATCAGGTTTAAATACATTTTTAAATTACAATAGTAATATAGTATCATCACCTGTGTTTGCTATAAGCATCAAGAAACTGGACGGTTATACTAACCTGGCTCCTCGGGACAACTAGGGCAACATTGGCCATCCTTCCTTACAGGTCGGGCGTTGCCTTTACATAGTGGCATGCTGCACGCCTTCATGGCGCATTCTACTTTAGTGGAGCCATCTCTCTGTACTTGACACGAGCAGGATTTGCATGGATTGTCAGTCTTAAAATGTCCAGGGGGATAACGCTTTCCTTTATAGTAGCATGCTAGAACAAATCTCATTGTTACGTATAAGGAATAAAAAAGTGGATTTTCCTATATATTGCCTTTGATATACAATATATACGTACAATGTTGTATTGTGGTTCTTGCATTTTTTGAAACTGGGACTGACATTCGCTTTTTCTTGACTTTCAAATAAATAACAGACTATTTTTTGAATGACAAATGTATATTAACAAAACTTACACAATGGAGGTTTAGTAGGACATTGAAGGCAACACTTTCCTGGGGGTTTAACAGGCTTGGATCCATCGTCACACGTTTCTACATTTGCACAACGAACCAGTCGACAATCTAAATAAAGACCATGTATATCGATAGTATCTATCCTGACTATTTATAAATGAATAAACACAACATTCGCAACCTCGTGGTTACGGCGCCAAATCGCCTAGCTCGAATGTGCCGGCGCTCAAGCCCTCTCGGCCAACTCGACAACCCCAAAAATAACATATAAAATAGTTAAACACTAAAACATTTCCATCTCCTTCATATATAAATATCAAATTAAAAATAATGGATAAAGTTAGTACTGTATTTCATTTAATGTTCGTTACCCTGTCCACATTGCTGACAACATTCACCAGGAGGTGTAAACAAGGCCTTGCCATTTCTGCACTTTGGTGGGCGACAGTCGACCAAGCTACAATCTGAAATATCAAATGTCAAATCAGTATAAATCTGTGATATCTTTGAAATAACTAGTAGAATTTACATCAGTTTAGGTACTAAACATGACAGTTTATGTTTTCAAAAATGATAATTTATTATTTTCTTATACCCTGAAAGAATTAAACGGTAAATACAACCCTATGAGTATCTAGATCTGCATGGTTGCAATTTAGGTTTCAAACCATTGACTATACTATCGTCAATAAATAAAACAATTCCGTTTTCAGTTTTGACATTATGATCATGATGTTATACTTATCTGTTAACTTCTAATACGTCCGTTGTAAGTTAAATTGGATCAAATGAATATTTTTTAAGTATTTAAATAATGTGGCCGAATTTGTCGCTTACTGTATCGCACAACACTAAACTCTGTATTGTACTATATATGTACTGTATTGTGATTATACTGGACTACAATCGCACTGCATTGTACCAAAATATACTGAATTGTAATGTACTGTATATATCGCACTGTATTGTACCAAAATATACTGCATTGTAATGTACTGCACTGTACTACAATGTTCTCAACTGCATATCATTACATTGTACTGTACTACTTTGTTATACTCAACTTTAGAATTGATTGAAATGTTTTTACCTACAACACTTTCAGAGCTACTGCCAGAACAGTCCTTCTCAGTACAGCTGACACCACCGGCGTCACATGTACATCTGTTGCAGTTATCTCCAGCAGGGAACCATGTGCCATAGCGGTATCGCTGCCCATTATACTCACAAAAGCAAGCTTTCTTAGTACAACCGACGGTGCCTGATTTACACATACACTTGTTACATGTATCCGTTGAAGGAAAACTGGCCCCATCTTTGTAAATCTGATTATTATATTGACACATTTGTTGGCACTTCATCTTTGTGCAACGGCGCTGTCCTTTGAAACAGGTGCAGTGGTTGCAGCCATCAATTGCAGTGAACTGTTCACCTTGCTTGTACGTTTTACCATTATAGGAGCAACTTGGGCATTTTTTTCTAGGACAACGAACCTTTCCTTTGGCACATTTGCAGTTTGTACAGCCATTGGAAAAACTTGCACCGTTGCTGTATTGTTTACCTTCATACATACACGACCCAATACACGCCTTCTCAGTGCATGAGGTGATTCCCTTATTACAAACACATTCGTTACACTTGTCATCGGATTTAAACTTTTGTCCATCATTATACACCTTCCCATTGTATTTACATGTGTTCTCGCAGGATTTCCTTGTACATGTGATACGAGACTTAACACAATAGCAAGTCTTGCAATCATCCTGGTACGATTGTCCATTTCTGAATGTATTTCCAGTAATACTGACACAGTTACCAGTAGAGCAAATCTTTGTAGTGCATCGAACAGCTCCTGTGGCACTGCAGTGGCAATAGTTGCAACCATCACCAGCTTTAAACTCATCGTTTGGTTTGTATATTTGACCCAAATGTTCACATCTGAATATGGGCAAAAGCATAATATAGTAGGCACGGCAAAGTGGGATGTTGAACGCCGAACCCACTGCCATGTTTAAGAGAATGAACCATGAGTAGAGAAACTTTGTCATTTTTCATTTTCATCTATACAGGGTGGGCCAAAAAAACGCCACTTTTTTTCAAGACACTATAACTTTTTTATTTTCCAACCTACATACCCCAAATTTTGCAGTTATATAGTGCCAAGGGTTCTAAGTAATAATATAATGTAACAAGTCCTTCAACTGGGATTATATTTGATCTAAAAAGAGGAGTTCAATTGGTCCGCCACCCCATTTGTTGATAGGTTTTAGTTTTAGTCGCCTTGCTGATATAGCAGTATCAATGACATGTTAACTATATTTTTTTCAAAGTGTCTTAATTTGCCAGCTTTAGTTAAGCAATTTTTTAGATCGGGTGCCTTCATACCATCTCCTGGAGACCTCCCCATACCCTATACTCACTTGGGTTTGAATTAGGGCTATTAGCTTGCGGTCATCAAGGCGTATCAGTTTAGGAACATTATGCAAATTATGCTTATTTCTCATGGCACACCACATGTTTAAGTGAGACGCTGGTGACATATTTTATTCGAGGTATATCCAGAATTATTGCAATGTCTATACTTTCTATACATTGTCTATACTTTCTATACTTTCGATCTCCTTTTTCATACTATCTGCCTTCGACGTTTATATACTTTCTATACTTTCGAACTGCTTTTTTATACCAACTGCCTTTGGCAAATCAGATGTCTATAGTTTCCATACTTTCGAAATGCCTTTTCATACTAACTGCCTTTGACAAAGCAGATGTCTATAGTTTCTATACTTTCTATACTTTCGATCTGCTTTTTCCTATAACTGTCTTAGACAAATCAGATGTCTATAGTTTCTATACTTTCTATACTTTCGATCTGCTATTTCCCAGAACTGTCTTCGACAAATCAGATGTCTATAGTTTCTATACTTTCTATACTTTCGATCTGCTTTTTCCAATAACTGTCTTCGACAAATCAGATGTCTATAGTTTCTATACTTTCTATCTGCTTTTCACAAAACTGTCTTTGACAAATAATATGTCTATAGTTTCTATACTTTCTATCAGCTATTTCCCAGAACTGTATTCGACATATCAGATGCATTCGATCTGCTTTTTCCCAGAAATGTCTTAGACAAATGAAATGTCTATAGTTTCTATACTTTCGATCTGCTTTTCCCAATAACTGTCTTTGACAAATCAGATGTCTATAGTTTCTATACTTTCTATACTTTCGATCTGCTTTTCCCCATAACTGTCTTCGACAAATCAAATGTCTATAGTTTCTATACTTTCGATCTGCTTTTCCCAATAATTGTCTTCGACAAATCAGATGTCTATAGTTTCTATACTTTCTATACTTTCGATCTGCTTTTCCCCATAACTGTCTTCGACAAATCAGATGTCTATAGTTTCTATACTTCGTCGCATGAGAATAACTTTGTACTATCTCACATTTTTATGGAACTGAGAAATCAAGGTTTGAAAGTTTAGAGGTCTGTATCTTACTTAGTATTGCTATGTGAAACTTGATTTTTTGTATGTCACCTGGTCTCACCCTAGAGATATCTTATATGAAATATCATACCTTGAAACAATTTACAAGATCCTTTTTAAAACTATGGAAATGGAGTTGATACAATTTCCCACCCAAATAACAGCTTATTTCTTATTTCAAATTGTCATATCTGATATCAACTGTTTCAACCAATCAACTCTCTAAGAATTGGTCATGTGACTTGCAAAACTTGGAGTTATAACAATCTTATATTAAAACAAAGTATGCCAATATGCATGTTATTGTATCTAGAATGAAAAATAATGTTTTGCATTGTAAAAAAATGTTCAAAAACCAAAGAATATTATTTAATAAAATAAAGAAAATTCAATTTATAAAACTTTAAAATCAATTTCTCAAATAAGTACAATTATTTCTTAATTTTGGAATCTCAGGACACCCTTCAAAAAGAATTTATTGCCTTTGAAACTAAGGCAGAAGTACAATGCATTGAAACCAATGATGCCAATACGGTCCCCCACATATTTCCCTTGGTATAAACCCTGTAGCCTAAACCTCCCTTCACATTACAATGTAGCCCCTAAGGGCCGGTCCGCTGGTCATTATCAGGTTATTTTTGATACAGACCAGTTGATTTTTTCACTGGGTATAGGAGAATAACATTGGAACTGGTCCGTAATTCCATCTTGACCAGCAGGTTTCAGATCCTTAGGGCCTAAGACATAACCAATTTTTAATACATGCACATGGAAGAAATTTGAAAATAGAAAAATAATTTCTAATTCATTTTAGATTAATGAAAGTGATGAAACCTCGATTTAGGTAATCACATTTTGTTCATTGGGATGCAGCTATCATTATCCATTCATTTTCTGTTGTTTGCTACTCTGTGGAGTACAATTGGGAATTGAAGCAATTGTAGAAGTGGAGACTAAGAGTGGCTCTTTGTAAAGAAATTGAACCAATTTGTTACTTTTCCAAAATAAAATGTAGATGATCTAAAAAACAATGATCCCAAAAATGCAAAAGAAAGGACAAATCTGAAAAACATACTAGTAATAAAATAACTAAAAAGATCCCAGATGTTCAGTGAAAAGCGCAAAGTAAATCATAGATGAAGAGAAAATAAAATAAGTGTTTTAAGGGACTATACTTACATAAAGATAACTCCTTATTGATATAAAAGCTAGTTTAAATAGATTTAGCTTTTTTCCACAAACTATAAAACATCATTTTGAAAGAGATTTCAATAGTATACAGACAGTGTATATCTAGTATATAACCTATTATTATGTACTCTACCTGTATTTGAAGAAACAAATAAGTAGTCTTTCATTTTCAACATTTAATGATGACAGGTTTGTATATATGCATTTCTATTGCATTTGGCCATTCAAACCCCTATAAGACCTGGTAGCAGGGAAGATAAAGGGTACTTTTGACTGCTCACATGATCTAATTAACTGGTCATTTGTACTTTTCATCTTCCCTGGTAGCAAGGATTTAGGTTTTCGAGGAAATTAGTAATTCTATTTCATATCATGTGGCCATGAATAATCCAATGAGCATCCATAATACAAAGAGTAATTGAGGGCATATAATTTGAATATGCATGGGATTACACATACTGTATCATTTTATTTTTTTGATCTACTTGTAATAGTTCTAAAACTAAAACATGAAAGGCCAGGCATGCAAACTGGCATGGTATTGTGTTACAAAACATTATTTCATTCTAGATACAATAACATGCATATTGGCATACTTCGTTTTAATATAAGATTGTTATAACTCCAAGTTTTGCAAGTCACATGACCAATTCTTAGAGAGTTGATTGGTTGAAACAGTTGATATCAGATATGACAATTTGAAATTAGAAATAAGCTGTTTGTCTGGAGATGGTACAATTTCACACTGAATTCTAGCTTAATGAGAGGGAATTGAGATGGGGCATGTATCTGAGATGAAAGCCTGTGTTTCAAATAGTAAAATTCCATGTCTATCTCAATTTTTTTGAAAATGGCAGTTAGTACAAAGTTATTCTCACGCGACGACTTTCTATCTGCTTTTCCCCATAACTGTCTTAGACAAATCAGATGTTTTACAATGTATAGAAAGTATCGAAAGTATAGAAAGTATAGACATAGGGATTTCGCCAAAATGTAAAGTATAGAAAGTATCGAAAGTATAGACATAGGGAATTCACCAAAATCAAAAGTATAGACAGTATAGAAAGTATAGACATGTATAGACTTTAGAGAGTCCAATCGTCTAAGACTGAAAAAAGTATCATTTAAAAAAAGCAGTTCGAAAGTATAGAAAGTATAGAATATGGCATAATTTTGGATATACATGTTTTATTCAAGTAAAAGTGTATAATTCATGATCAATGGCTAGATAACAACCTCAAGTTTCATTTGGTATGTAAATTATGATTTTGTATCAAAAATTTAAAAAGTTATAGCATTTTCAAAAAAAAGTGGCGTTTTTTTGGCCCACCCTGTACATTTGATAAAATCTTCGTTTTTAAAGTGGATATCCACTTACTTTTTGCATGCCATCCTTGTGCATCCCACTTGACCATCTGCATTACATACACATGTGTTACATCCATCGCCAGCCGGGATGCCCCATTGGCCTAACAGAAATAGAATATATTAACAGAATATACAGGAAAATCGTTAACAAAAACCTGAAACTTTGTGTCAATTTTTCAAGTTCTTTTTCAAAAGTAGTTGCGTCCGTCGTTTTCAAGTCTTCTCATAATAATAGGTATCAAATCTGACATGTTCCTGATGCATATATGGACAACTCCTCTCAACAGGTCGATTTCGGTTCTTAAAAATAGACCTTCATCTATTGCAATTAATATTTCTTACGGCAACTGACCTATCTTATAGTTCCTTCCATTATATGTGCATACTCGGCTACATTTTGTTCTGGCACATATAACACGTCCGTTTTCTCTGCATCTACACTTTTTGCAACTATCCATAAACGTCTCTCCTGGTTCATAAGAATGCCCATTGAACTTGCAGCTTTTCGCTAAAAATACATTTATGTTGCATATACATGTAGGATACGAAACGGAACAACTATCAGTTTATGTCTTCCGATACAAAACAAAAGGAGACCTTTTCTGAAATTGTGAACATCATGTATTTTTCAGTTCTCCTTGTCTTACAATATGCGTTAAAAAAGTTAACCTAAAATTAACTGAAAATACATGAACATATGACGTTCACTCCCCTCCATAAGTTTGGCAACCTTTTTCCCCCATTGAACTACGTGTTAAAGCCTCTTTACGTTTGAATTTTTATTTACTTAACCGGCGATGAAATAACTAATACAGTAAAACCTGTCCGATGGAATACCTCTCTGTAGGGAAAACCTATGGACAAGGAATGCTTTTCAAAAGAACCGAATAATTTTCCATTGACTTACATGTTAACGGACCCTCTCTGTAGGGAAAACCTGTGAACAGGGAACAAGGAACACTATTTTGGGGCAAATTATGAAAATTCACCTGTGAACAAGGAATATGGAGTATTGGTGACACTGTATATTCCATTATTTTTCAGAGGTGTGAAAGTCTTAAGCCAATATCCGATTCTAAAAAGCTTGGATTAATATGATTGAGATTAAGATAAGCCAATTGTTTACAGGATGTAGTATCCCACCCACTGTTAATTAACCTGATATATTTTAAAACTAATACTTATCTATTTGTTACTTATTATCATGACACTAATTCTTCCTTTCAACAAACCTAACTAGATAATGGCAACTCAGCGGAGTAGCAAATCCCAACGAACAAAATATCAATTACCGAATTCCAATCAATTATACTCATTACTTTGGTTAAAATTGAAAAATTTAGATTTTAGAATTGCGAATTCCTGCAAAGCAGCCATTTTGAATTTTCTGAGGTACAAATCTGAAAAATAATAGCATAATTGTGATCTACTCCAAAATTCCTTCAATTTGAGTATAATATAGCCATACTTTGAAGGGATCGAAAAATGATTGCGAAATCGTACATTAGACGGCCATTTTGAATTTTACGAGGCTCGAATCAGAAAAAAGATACAATATTTGCAATCTACTCTTAATTGCCTTTCATTTGAGTATAATAAAGCTATACTTCAGAAAGATCTAAAAATTAGCGAAAATTTCTGTTTTCCTGACCCCCCATACACGGCCCCTGGGGGTCAGGATGAAAAACACGGAATATATGTGAAATAGATAGATGTTGCGAGTATACTACCAAAATTTCAAACAATAATATTAATTACTTTGGTTTAGAATGAAAAATTTATGATTTTGCGAAAAAGTCCCGTCATTTTTAAAGCGGCGGCCATCTTGAAAAAATTTTTTTTGCGTAAAATTATTCATCAATATACATCTTTCAACCAAATATAAAGAAAATCCGTCTACTAATATTTGAGTTATCTTCCGGACAGACGGACAGACGGAGTGACTGACTGACGGACTGACAGACTAACGGACTGACGGACGGAGGGCTTCACTATATCCCTACCGAACTTCGTTTGTTGGGATAATTACATCAAATCAGTTGTGATAATCTAGGGACTGACACAATTGTTTTTTTGGAGATAGCAAATAAGTACATGTGTCATGTTGAGCCAAATCTATCAATAATTACATCAACTAGACATCATCAGATACCAGCAGCAGCAGCTAAAATCAACATAGGGAGAATGCAAATAGAGGGAGGTGGGAGACCTTCATACATCTTCCAAGATGTCATAATAAGGTCTAGCAACCAAGTATGGAGTCAACATTGGTACAATCAATCAATGCCCATATGTATACAAATATGCTTATTCGGCAAGTTTGTGGAAAGTGTGGCCCCTCTCTATAGGGAAAACCTCTGGACAAGGAAACTTTCTTCCAGACCCAAGAGCATTCCCTGTTCGCAGGTTTTACTGTAATATTAATGGAAACGTAACTTGACTTTATTTCCAATATCTCCAAATTTTCTCAATTTTTTTCCTCAATTACAATAGGTCGAAAATTGATGATTTTGATGAATTTTTGAAAATCGTCATTCCCATGTAATCCAATGGGAAATGAAGGGTTCGGGGCAAATCAGAAATCAGGATATCTTTTCAGTAAAAGATTCAGCAAAAATATTTTTACATAGAAAATTGAATTGTCTAACCTTTTTGAACACTGAGTGTTTAGTTTATTTGATGAATATTAAAGTTACAGCGCTTCAAAGTCATTTTTGAAAACAATTTTTCGCCTCCTGTGTTATTTCAATGGGAGAGGTTTTTTGAAAAACAATTTTGACTTTAAAGCCCTATAACTTTGTTGAACCTGAAGAAACATATCAAATTTTTGTTAAATAAAGTTAGCAAATTCAATTGCCTGCCTAACTCGTACTTTTTGCAAGGACTCGGATTGATGGATATTCTATCATATGAATTGCGGCAAACCTACCATTTCCCATTGGTTGACATGGGAATGTCGATTTTCAAAAATTCATCAAATTTATCATCAATTTTCGACCTATTGTAATTGAGGAAAAAATTGAGAAAATTTGGAGGTATTGGAATTAAAGTCAAATTTCGTTTCAAAATTCAAAGGTAAAGAGGCTTTAACACGTAGTTCAATGGGGGAAAAAAGGTTGCCAAACTTATGGAGGGGAGTGTATCGCTAAAAGGTGGCGCATTTGTTTTTTAAGGGTATCGCGTGAATGTAACTTTGATTCCCCGGATTATAAGATAATATTCTAATTAAAGTTATATATCATTTTAAAGCTGTTTCGATGAAGTTTTTAGATCAACTACACCCCGTTCACGATTCTTGCGCGTTCTTTTTTTAAAAAAAGAGTTTTAAACCAAAATATCTGGAAAAAAGCGCAAATATCCCTTGTTGACACGTTACATTTTGAATTATTTTTCGTCTTTAAACGCTCATAACTCAAACAATATATGACTATTATACTTATTTTTCGTCTTGATAAAGGTAGATGGAAGTTTTATTTCAAAAGATGAATTTTAGTAAGCGTCCCATATTGTGACGTCATAGAGTTTGTAAAATAGAATCTGTCGACAGCGACCTTTTTTGCTCATTTTTCTGTTACCTTCAACTTTTCAGGTGTACATTAAACAAAAAATACGAGATCAATTTTTAATAAATCATACATGATTATTTTGCTCTTAAACTCTAGTTTATTAATAAATAGTTGATTTTGTTCGCAGAAGTATGTGTTTTCTGTTGTATGTGGAAAAGTGGAGGACGAAAGGTTTTCAAAATTCATTAAAATAGGGCTAATTTACGCCATTCGCCTATTTTCAAGCACAGCAACACGTATATTTATTTCACCTAAAATATCAATTGATTCGTGTTTTATGATGCTCCTATCCCATTGTTAATACATATACGATATCAGAGTTATACGCCTTAAATATTTTGAGATATAGAGGCAAATGTGGAGGACGAAAGGATTTCCATGTGTGTACATTTTTCTCAAAAAACGTCACATTCTGTGGTGTTAAAAAGCGAAAATGTGTTACAATGCGTGCGCGACCTTTTTGCGACACGTCTATACATTTTGCATAAACCACTGTTGGCCAAATTAAAAACTTGTTCAATAAGAATTAATGTAGATTTTCAAAAATGTAGGTAGATATATGACTTTCCAGAATAAATATTCTTCTAGATGAACACAATGTAAGTGAAACAACATATTAAATATCATACTTTTCGGACAACAGACTGCAAATCTGTCTGTTGGTGATATATTGCATTCAAATCCACTTGGACAATCCTGTCTTGAAGGTCCGCGCCCACAGAATATTGGCTTTCTATCCCGACCTTTAGCCATAGCAGACCGTCTACACTTCATCATCTCTGGGTTAGCTGTAGGTATAAATGATCACAATTCTACATCCCTGTCTATGAGTTTGGTAACCGAAATACCACAATTAATGACACATTTGATGAAATGATGAAGTGCTTACTGCAGGTTTTAACACGTGCTTCAAAGGAGCTCTTCGGCATCCTAACTTTTGGAGAGGATTTACATAGGAATTGGCAACCAACTTGGCCCAAGTGCAATTTTCATTGACTTTTCGTGTTACATTTCGTTAGTCCTCAAGAAATACGGTGAGACTTTGCCCACCTTCAGACTCAATGACACCCAGAAAGCACATATACAATTGATTGTATGGTGTGAACATGCCTTCCAAATAATTATCAAATATTCAATTTGTTGTACTCACCTCCTGATCATTTGCAGCCCTGGTTCAACAGCATGAAAAGGTAAATTGGGAGTTTTGATTTTAAAGATCTGGTGACATTTTCGGGTTTGTGTAAAAAACCGGGTGACCGGGTACTTAACGTTCCTAGCAGGGTTAGGAATTTTTTTAAATTTATAACGTTGGATCTGGACGATACATGTACGTTATTTTCGACGTCGGTAATGAACCGATTTAGTGAGAACATATTGACCTCTTTGTAACGTTTCCTTGACTCACAAATGTTTTGAAGCCATTTCCACAATGTTGAAATTCAACCATCCATCGACGTTTTGCTGAATATTTAAATAACGTCAGATCAATACGGTCCATGAACGTCATTATTGACGTCACGTTTTGAGGTTATTTCAAATCGAAAAAACGTTTCAACAATGTTAAATTTTAACGTTAACAATACGTCGGAAATGAACCGACTTAGTGAGAACACAAAGTTTTTGTCATGTTTTTTTCCACCAACAAATATTTTGATATTAAAAGCCTGTTTTGACAACGTTGAATTTTAACGTTTGAGTTACGTCACATATGGACCGATGTAGTAAAAAATCAAACGTTCCTGTTTGTTATGTTTTCCACACTAACAAACTTTACGGACACGTTACAACAACGTTCTTTTTATACCATCAATAGATGTCTCATGTTTACGTTGCCTCGATGTGTAAAGAACGAAAATGTGCAACGTCTTCTACGAACTTATATGCTACTTATGAGCAACGTGACATGGACGTCACTGTTTGCTGGATCGATTATTTTAAAAAATGCTCTGTCTCGTATAGGGTAAAAATATCGAACAGCAGTGCACTCGGTAGGCTAAGTCTGTCAAGTCAATTCGCTACTATATATCGGGGGAAACGTTGAACTTTGAAAGTTGGTAACCCTGCTAGGAACATTAGGTACCCGGTCGACCGGGTACCCGGTTACCCGGTCACCCGGTTACCCGGTCACCCGGTTTTTTACACAAACCCGACATTTTCTCTACCTGCATATGAACATTCTAAAATAACTTTCTAAAATAACATATTTTAACATACCTATGCATGTTGCTATAGCAGGGCAAGTTGGCTCATTGCATTTTACAAAGTTTGTTTCACATATCAATCCTCGCTTACATTTCTTCACCTACAATGTATTTATGTGTGCACAACATTTTATAAGAATAACAAAAAGGTATGATTTCAAACTTTTGTAAAAGTTATTCTAGTTTAATGAAGAAACATACGAATAAGAATGTAAAAATCATACTTTAAAATTGTCCCCTTAATACATGAAAATATACATCTAAGCCCTTCATTTTGTAATATGCATCTCATAATGTTAATCATAAGTAGCTAGCTACATGTTAAATATTTTACAAAGTGCAAGCACCTTTGTTGGAAGGTTGGGTAAATGTGAAGAGGTGCGTTTTGGTGAATTTTGTTTATGGTCAAAATTTCTAAAATATCTTATAAACTGTCAAAATTGCCCCCTGAACATGAAAGCATTATCTAATCAGCTTTGTAACCAACATACTTATGTAATGTATTAAAAGTAAAAAAGTACGGAGAATTATCAAAATTAAGTTGTTCAATTTTGAAGAAATTAACTTCTAATTTACATCCTCGATTGCAATTATGTTGCTATGGAAATGACATAACTAATTTGAGAGTTCCTCCACAGTGCACATGCGTCAAGTCAAATCAAAAATCATACTTATCTAGTACCTTGCAAGGGTCTTTGTTGCATTTACACGTAGGGCACATCTTGTCATCCAACTTATGACCAAATCTTCCACAGTCTACGTCACAAGGTAGTTCAGGACAAGTATCTTTAGCTTATAATAGAAAAATGTTTATTGCATGTTAAACCTTTATGCATTTAATTTTGAGAAACTATTTTAACTCTAGTGTAGCGTAACTACAAGTGATTCATTGCAGATTCACTTGCCACATTTTAATGAAGTAAAAACGAAGATTAAGAAATTAAATGAAAACAAAAAAAACATTTATCATAAATCCATTCTATGGCCGTGTAGGATTCAAGGTTATAAAGTCGACTGTGTGTGGATCGCTACTTACCTTTACATACTGCTACTGGGTTACAGGGAAGTTTTTTACAAATCACTTTCTCTAATACACATACTTCGTCCTTTGAACATCGCTTAGCCTATAAAAGTTAATCTTTCTAAACTACGTATACATTTCAGATCCAGTTATTCTAACAACATGACGTCATTAAAGAGTGTTTATCCATTTTGCACCTATGGTTCATACATTGCACCAGTGCGTGTAGTATTAATATAATTACCTTTCATTTGCATAGCTAGATTGCTTTACATAAGTAATCAAACTACCACGTATCAATGTGTATACATTCATACATTACGCAGATTTGTGTAGCCATCATTTAGTTTTATTATAATATACTTTAAACAAAAACATTACATTACCTCACATGGGTTTACGCATGTAGGAAACTCTGGACAAGGAGGCACTAAACATGGAGCAACTTTCATCTCACAAAACTCACCACTCGGACATGTCTTATTCTACAAAGAGGAAAATGTAGTTCGTGATCTGTTAAGATTGTAATTAAAAATAAAAAATTGAGTACAATATTTGAAGGGAATTGATCAAATACAGGGTGTCAAATAAGTCCCGTCCCCCCCCCTGCTACAGCTAAAACCTTAACAGAAGGTACCTAGTGTGATATACCATTGGAAAGATCACCCAAAGTTATGTTAACTCACCAACTCTCAAGTATTTTGGATGAAATCTACCTGTATTTTTATGATGTCTTTTAAAATTAACGTGCCCTCCTTTAAGTAGCTTTTTGCGTCAAAAAGACAAGGATATGACCTCAGAAATACATCAAAAAGTTAATCTTTTTCACATTCCACTTGTTACAAAAAGGTTTTCACCACTTTCCTTGCAACTCTATTTTCTACACATCTAACCCTATCCAGGAATAGGTTAAATTCATCGCCATAAACATATTTAGTCATATTTTAGTCCCGTGACATCTCTTATACACGATTCTTAAAATCGTGCCAAATACGCCAAATTGCCATGTTTCTAGGCATATGGTCACCTCAATTGATACAATGTAAAAATTTCTGAGATTGATTGACATGTGTCAGATATATGCCAATCAACGTAACTTTGGAAGACCTTTCCAATGATATATCTCACTTGGTACCAAATATCTTGGTTTTGACTGTAGAGGGGGACGGGACTTATTTGACACCCTGTATATTCAACATTTTTTATCCTAAGTGAATTTTTTACAGTTAGATTTAAACTTTTCTGAATGGACTAAACTTGAAGGTAAACCGATGTTGATTGGAACCGTATTTAAAACACCCAAATCACATTACAACTGTTAATTTGCTAAGTGCAAGTGCACGATCTAACACCAGTCATTGTATTTTTCCGATTTTGCAATCTGAGTGTCATGTGCATTCATTATCTTCTCATAACGCCCTATCAGAATGATAATGTCCCAACTCACATTTTTGAAAAAATTGAGATTTTGACAGAGTTCCCCTGTACAAATCACCTTCTTTCTTCCTGTGCGATTTCCTTCCCTTATTGATTCCCTCAATAGCCAGCTTTTCAGTGTCAAATTGTCCTACAGTAACTCCATAAAAGGAGGAGGGAAATTAGCGCAACAGATTTTGGACAGTCATATGTTGGATTTTGGCCATTTCCTGGGGATTTAAACAGGTGCATATGTTAGGCCAATGCATCACCTCCAGGAAAAATCACTTCTAGAGATGATAAAATAATTTCGACTTTGAGACAGGGTAGATGCAAACAACCCACCCACTTGTTTTTTCTGAAATGTTTTTTCTGATTTTCAACCCCTTCCATCCCTGCTTTTTTAATTTTTCTTTGCATCAATATGTTGCGTTTTGACACACAGTTAATCCCTTAAAAGTAATAAGTGATTCCTTTTAGATAAAGTGGAAATCAATAGTTCCCATGTTATTTTCCCATAGGGAAAAATCATTGCTTTCAGCTAAGTTTGGTCACCCATAATGGGTATCTTTAAAACCCCTGAAGGAATCACTTATTCCTTTAAAGTGGTTAACAAAAACATTACATTACCTCACATGGGTTTACACATGTAGGAAACTCTGGACAAGGAGGCACTAAACATGGAGCAACTTTCATCTCACAAAACTCACCACTCGGACATGTCTTATTCTACAAAGAGGAAAATGTATTTGAAGGGAATTGATCTTATCCTAAGTGATTTTTTACAGTTAGATTTAAACTATATACAGTATATAGCAGACCCCGTTTTAAACGTATCAGCAACTTTATGGATTTCACCTTCAAACTCAACACTTAATGGATGTAATTGTCTAGCTGACTTTGTCAATATTTTCTGAATGTACTAAACTTGAAGATAAACTGATGTTGATTGGAACCGTATTTAAAACACCCAAATTACATTACAACTGTTAATTTGCTAAGTGCTAGTGCACGACCTAACACCAGTCATTGTATTTTTCCGATTTTGCAATCTGACTTCATTCGTCTTCTTCTCACAACGTCCTATCAGAATGATAATGTCCAAACTCACACTTTTAAAAAAATTTAGATTTTCACAGAGTTCCCCCTGTACAAATCATCTTCTTTCTTCCTGTGCGATTTCCTTCCCTTATTGATTCCCTCAATAGCCAGCTTTTCAGTGTCAAATTGTCCAAACTCCATAAAATTTCAAAAATCGAATTTAACTTCTATGTCTTATGCACCATGTTTAACCAATCAAATTGTTTGAATTACATCATGTCACCAGGAATAATCATATTAGATATATATATGATATTACAATTTTAAACTTAGATTTGAATTTATTTTTCTAAAATGAATAGAGTTTGTGACCATTGAAAATACATAGCGAAATGGGTACCCCGTCTTTAATCTTTCGATGTTACGAAAAATTGGAAATTAAATTGTTCTTTTTCCATTTTTAATATGCTCAAAAACTGTTTTAGAAAATCTTGAAATTCATGAAATCTTTGTTGTATCTACACAATTGATGACAAAAACAATGTAAAGATTTCATACATGACAGATGGATACTATTACAGTTACAGATGTCTATATAAACTTTCAAAAATTGATTTCTCAGTTTCACGAAAAATGTGAGTTGGGACATTATTATTCTGATAGGACGACATTTACTTTTCAACATACTTTCCATGAATTTGAACATATTTTTTGTGCCGCTTTACCCATGAATGAAATGCATTAGTTGAAAACACCCTTAAATATTTGCCATATTAACAGTTGTAACGTGATTTGTGTGTTTTGAATACAGTTCCAGGTGGCTGGGTCACCATATTATATTCTCGAAAAAAACTAGATAAATCAACTTAGACAAAATGTTGATCTTCATTATTTGAAAGGTTTCATTAAAAAATAGCAAAGTAAGAGCGAGCCGTCCAAGACTTTTGGATCACCCCTCGTATTATGTTTTAAATTACATTGTACCATTGGTTTCTATGACTCAAGTTTTGAAATGCATTTTTCTCTGAACACTTCCATGCATCGATGGGTTCATTTCTCGCTTATCCATTAATCAATTTTCTTAATTTTCGACAAAAACAGATGCGGATGAATGCTATGAATGCTGAAATTTAATCTTAAATAACGATTTTCAGAACACTCTTTTAAATTAAAAAGAGAATTACATATCACATTTGATAACATTGGACAAGACTACAATTCAAGCCAATTAATGGGTTTAAACTTTATATGGGGCCTTTATTAATTAGAATACTCGTAGTATGTTTTTTATGTTTTGTACTGATTATTTATTACTAACTGCCCCAGCTAACAATTTTACGTTGTGATAACGTCGTCAGAATATATGTCTCAAGTTGTAGCAACGTTAAATATGGAACGTTGTAGGTACAGGAAGGTGTGGACTCGCACAGATGTTTAAAGAACGTTACATTTGACTTAAATATCACGTGTCAGGAACGTAGTAGCGACCTTAACAATTACGTCGCCAAAATAACGAAACTGTAACGTACTTACATTACGTCATATATACGTGGCCAATCTAAATTTCTGGTAACGTTGATATGGAACGTTGTAGGTACAGGAAGGTGTGGACTCGCATAGATGTTTAAAGAACGTTACATTTGACTTAAATATCACGTGTCAGGAACGTAGTAGCGACCTTAACAATTACGTCACCAAAATAACGAAAATGTAACGTACTTACATTACGTCATAAATACGTGGCCAATCTAAATTTCTGGTAACGTTGATATGGAACGTTGTAGGTACAGGAAGGTGTGGACTCGCACAGATGTTTAAAGAACGTTACATTTGACTTAAATATCACGTGTCAGGAACGTAGTAGCGACCTTAACAATAACGTCGCCAAAATAACGAAACTGTAACGTACTTACATTACGTCATATATACGTGGCCAATCTAAATTTGTGGTAACGTTGATATGGAACGTTGTAGGTACAGGAAGGTGTGGACTCGCATAGATGTTTAAAGAACGTTACATTTGACTTAAATATCACGTGTCAGGAACGTAGTAGCGACCTTAACAATTACGTCACCAAAATAACGAAAATGTAACGTACTTACATTACGTCATAAATACGTGGCCAATCTAAATTTCTGGTAACGTTGATATGGAACGTTGTAGGTACAGGAAGGTGTGGACTCGCACAGATGTTTAAAGAACGTAACATTTGACTTAAATATCACGTGCCAGGAACGTAGAACCAACCTAAACGATGACTTCGCCAAAATAACGAAATGTAACGTACTTACATTACGTCATAAATACGTGGCCAATCTAAATTTCTGGTAACGTTGATATGGAACGTTGTAGGTACAGGAAGGTGTGGACTCGCACAGATGTTTAAAGAACGTTACATTTGACTTAAATATCACGTGTCAGGAACGTAGTAGCGACCTTAACAATTACGTCGCCAAAATAACGAAACTGTAACGTACTTACATTACGTCATATATACGTGGCCAATCTAAATTTGTGGTAACGTTGATATGGAACGTTGTAGGTACAGGAAGGTGTGGACTCGCATAGATGTTTAAAGAACGTACATTTGACTTAAATATCACGTGTCAGGAACGTAGTAGCGACCTTAACAATTACGTCACCAAAATAACGAAAATGTAACGTACTTACATTACGTCATATATACGTGGCCAATCTAAATTTCTGGTAACGTTGATATGGAACGTTGTAGGTACAGGAAGGTGTGGACTCGCACAGATGTTTAAAGAACGTTACATTTGACTTAAATATCACGTGCCAGGAACGTGGAACCAACCTAAACGATGACTTCGCCAAAATAACGAAAATGTAACGTACTTACATTACGTCATAAATACGTGGCCAATCTAAATTTCTGATACGTTAATTATGGAACGTTGTAGGTACAGGAAGTTGTGGACTCGCACAGATGTTCAAAGAACGTTACATTTGACTTAAATATCACGTGCCAGGAACGTAGAACCAACCTAAACGATAACTTCGCAAAAATAACGAGACTGTAATGTGCTTATGCAACGTCACATATACCTGGCCAGTTTTAAGTTCTGGTACGTTAATTATGGAACGTTGTAGGTACAGGAAGTTGTGGACTCGCACAGATGTTTAAAGAACGTTACATTTGACTTAAATATTACGTGCCAGGAATGTAGAACCAACCTTAACAATGACTTCGCAAAAATAGTGAGACTGTAATGTGCTTATGCAACGTAACATATACCTGGCCAGTTTAAAGTTCTGGTAACGTTTGTCTTGGACCGATGTAGGCACAGGAAGGTCTGGACTCGCACAGATGTTTATACAACGTTACATTTTACTTAAATATCATGTGCTAGGAATGTAGTAGCAACCTTAACAATGACTCCAAAAATAAAATAACAGACTGTAACGTGCTAATGCAACGTCACATATACGTGGCCAAGTTAAAGTTCTGGTAACATTAACTATAGAACGTTGTAGGCAAAGGAAAGTGTGGACACGCATAAATGAGTATACAAGTTACGTTCGACTTAGATATCACGAGCCAGGAATGTAGTACCAACCTTAACAACGACTTTGCCAAAATAAAGAGACTGTAACGTGCTTGTCACATACATGGCAAATTCATAACTTCTGGTTACATCAAGTTAGGACAACACATGCAAGGAATGTTCTAGTAACCTTAATTATGCCATCAACAAGATATAGTGATAGTAATGACTAACGTCCAGTTAAATGAATCATTACATGAACATAATTTAAAGTTCCTGTACAGGAAGATGTAGACACCGATGTTCAGTAAAATTATATATAACACACTAAGCCTAACATTTTCACATGTGAAGGTAAAACACAACTAACTTATGCTTTGACTTATTAACAAATGTATATTGTTTTTCCAATAAGAACTTTTTTGAGCATCCAAATAGAGAATATTGACACACAGAATTGAACTTAAATATAATTACAGTCTCGTATGTCATCTATCAAAAATCTATCCTATCGTTAATAAGTTTTTTTAAGTATTTTATTAACCCCTAAACGGTTAAGGGGCAGGGGAGATTTGCCGTTCTGGCTTGTCTTAAATATCACGTGTCAGGAACGTAGTAGCGACCTTAACTTAACTTAACCTTAACTTGATAGGCATATTTTAACTAATAAATCGTGACTATATTGTATTTACTGAGGGATATACACTGTATCAAAAATCGAGCATTTAATAACTGATTTATCCTCTACTTAGTAGATTATGAGAATTAAATATGCATTGAAATTTCCCATTTTTCCCCAAATTTTTTTTCACATTTTATAAAAAAGATTTTCACATTTTTTTCAAATTTTTTTTTCAAATTTTATTTTTCAAAATATGAGTTAGGCTATATGAGTTTGATAATCTCAGAAACTTAAAAACCACTTTAAAACACCAAGAAAATGTGTATCTTAAGTATATTTTTGAATTTTGGAACTTTATAAGGTATATGACGTACCAAGAACATCAGTAGGTATGAAATACATCTGTTATGTACGGTCGGTTTTGGATACAGGGTTTATCCCTCGGGAAATATGTGTATATCCCTTGGTCACTCGGGATATACACATATTTCCCTTGGGATAAAACCTGTATCCAAAACCTCCCAGTACATAACCCTTATATATCTCCCGCTCAACTCAGA